GGGCACCAGGCATTCCACAGTCCAGTCACTCTCCTCTGAGCTCAGATTAAAAGAGAGAATACGAACAGTGCACCCAGCACTGTGTCTGCACTCAGTAAGTAGGTACCTGATGAGCGAATTAAATATGTAACAGAAACAGAGGAACAATGGAGGTTCAGCCTTCTTGTTACTGGCTGAGGCCACCAGTCACCTCCAGGAGAGCAGATTTCTAAGACAGAGTGTGAGCTGCAGGTTTCCTCCCTGTTTTTGTGATTCCATGAGCAGAGGATTCTCAGGGGAATCTTTGCCCATGATTACCGACGCCTTTTAAGGCTGCAATGAAGTTGGGGTGGAAGAGATGGGGCCACTCCTTTCCGTAGCTGGAGGACAAGCTGGTGCATGTTGTGGGGGTGGGGAAAGCACCTCACACTCTCTCCTCTAGCCCTTCCAGTGGGGTTCAGCCTCCCCCGGGGCACAGCCCAGGCCTTTGGGGGAAAAATCAGCCTCAGCATAACTGCATGACACATGGAAAAAAAACCCACTTCCTCTTTCCCATCTGCTTCATGTGTCATTTTCTGGTCCCTTCCTCCTAAACATCAGCTCCCATGTGGACACTGCTGCCACATGGGGATTTTCCCAGCCTGGGTCACCTAAGTTCTGAGTCCCAGCAGTCCCTTTGGGTGCCCTTTCACCTAGAAAGTCTCTCGCTTGTCAAAGAGCCCCATCCCCCTTTAAAAAAGGGATATAGGATTGTTGTAGAAAGTTTCAAAAATAAGTAAAAGCACAAAGAAGGAAATCCACTTCCCATTGTCAATGATGACTAAAAATCCCACTGTCCAGAGAAAACCAACCACTGACATCTGAGGTATGTCCTTCCAGTCTTTTTTCTATGCCTATTATGCATATATGACTTCTTAAAAATTTACTACATACCATGAATTCTCTTTTAAGCCTATATTTCTGCACTTAACATATTGGACCATTTCCCCTGCTATTAAATGTTTTAAAAATCACACACTGCAGAGTTTACCCATATATGGGTGGATTATATTCTGTTGAACCAGTCCTCAGTGACAGGAGCGAGGCTCTCTGTCTGAACACCCTGAGTCTCTGTCCCCTGCTTTGCAAATCTCCTGCTCCTCCCCCCGAGCCTGACGCCTGCCCCGTCACACCCCCTCACAGCTCTTCCCCCAGCCCACTGCCGTCACTCATTCATTCATCCATTCATTCATTTATTCACTCACACGGCAAAGCTGTCCTAAGCAGCTGCTGTGTGCCAGGCCTGTGCTGGGCCCTGGGAGCACCATGGCCACCAGGGCAGACTGGATCTCGCTTTCCCCCAGATCTTGTCTCTACCACCTTCCTTCCCCAGCATTGAATGACCAGCTCTTCCCCACCAGCCCTTTTCCTCCTTCCATCAGAATGCCTGTCCCAGATGAGGAGAGGAAGGGTGGCCCGGAAGGGTGGCCCGGAGCCTGCACACAGCATTCAGCAACAGAACGCGTTCACCCCGCAGAGCACTTGGTCACCTGTGCTGTTAGATCAACTGTCGGCTCAGCAAGCACGGGGCCATGTGTGGACTTGTGTCTCCCCACTGCGGCTTCTCCCTTTGGCTCTGGTGGACAGTGTCTCTCTCTGTGGCATTCAGTGCCGTGGGCATCTGGCTGTGTGTGCCTTACCCACTGCCACCTGCTACTGGATCCTGGGTTGAAAGAATCGGGGCTGTATAGAGCTGTGCTCAGAGGCAGGACGCCTGCCGAGCATCGCTGCAGGTGCTGGAAGCCAAAAGCTGACACCAGAGGTGCTGTCAGCCTGAGCTTGGATCCCACGGAGCTGACAGGCCTTCCTGGAGGTTTCTGGGGCCGCAGCTGGGTGGGCCGTCCTGAGGGACAGACCCCAGGCACAGGGGGTCAGAGCAGATGCCCCTGGCGACTTATGGTTTGAGGCAGTCCTGGGACTCTGTAAGGACAGGTCCTTTTAGTGGGCACCCCCCCCTCCTGTCTTCTCCCACCTGGGAACATTTTTGTGAGTGACAGTTTTGAGAACTAGCTTCGTTTGACCTGCTCCTCCAGCAGGGACCTTTCCATTTGTTCGTGTCTTCATTCATTTATTCATTCATTTGTTCACTCATTCACTAATTCACTCACTCAACAAACCCTGGAATTCCTGCCAAGCTTCAGACCTGAAGGGATAGGTCCCCAGGGCCAAAATCTCTAAAGAAAGGTCTTTTCCCAGATGGATTATAGGGATCCCCATCCCTGCGCCTGTTCTGGGACTCAACCTCCTTAATCTCTTCTTGTCTCTAGCTGGAGAGCATTCAGAGCCCTCCCAGAGCCCCAGGCAGGTAAGGAAAGACTCCCGCAGGAGATGGGCCAGGGTGTCTGGGTAGGGGGCGCAGAGGATGTTGGGGGGTTGGACAGTGCCTTGGCCAGTGGACCTGCTGGGTGGATCATGGATGGATGGAGGGGGTGCTTGCCAGAGCAGGGAGAATGATACCTGGGAGATCTGGTCACTGGGTCTTTCCCTGAGTTTCATCCAGTCTGTCCCCTCCCCCCAGGGGAAGTGGAATGAAGGAGGGTCCTCCCAGCTGGAATGACCTGGGGGGCATTCAAATACTGCCCAGAGCTGGGGATGGTGGAGACAGGGAGGGAAGGTTGCTCCCAGAGCATGGAGGGACGAGGGTGCACGCAGAGAAGCAGGCTCAGAGGCCACAGGGGCTCCGTGACAACCGGCAAGCCCCCCCCCACCTGCCCACCCCAGGCTGCCGAGCAGAGTGAGCCCCACTATGCGAACCTGGAGCTGCAGACATGTCCCCTGTGGAAAGAGCCAGTGCCACCAAGGCAGGCAGAGGTGGAGTACAGCACAGTGGTAAGTGTGAGAGCCCTGGCTAGCCCAGGCCCTGCCTAAGGGGCCAGGTGTCCTCTGCAGACACCTGACTGCTCAGTGAGGGACCCTTGCTGCATTGTTGCCAGCACATTCCATCAAAGGGAGCACAGAAGTATCTGGGGGAGCCCGATCAGCTCTGTAATGCTCTGGTGGCCTCAGTTTCTTCCTTGTAAAAGGGACCAGGTGGAATCAGCCCTGTGGATCCCAGGGACCCTCCTGCCTCTGATACCTGGGGACTTTGTGCTGTGCCTTGGCCAGGTGGGGTGGAGCAGGTGGGTGGACAGGATCGTGGAGCCCAGTCCTTGCGAGAGAAAGCAGCCAGGAGAGTGGGGAGGCTGGGGACAGGGAAGCCTCCCCATGGCCCCCTTGGGTGTCCTCCTTCTCCCACCTGTCCCTGAGCCTCAGGTCTCTCTCTGCAGGCAGCCCCCAGGGAAGATCTTCACTATTCCTCGGTGGTATTTGACATCCAGAGTCGGGATTCTAACGCCAGCAGGAGTCCCTGCCAGAGGCCCCGGGAGGAAGAACCAGAGTACAGCGTCATAAAGAAGATATAGACCTTTGTCCCCAGCCTCACCACCTGGAGGTCTCCTTGAGCCACAGGAAGCCCAAGGACGGCCCCCTTAGCCCTCACCCATGTCCCCCTCAGCCTGCTTCCTTCGCTGGTGACTGACCGACTGACAGCTGGGCCACCGCGAGCAGGAACCGGGGATCTGGGGGTCAGCAGGAGGCCCTCTCACCCCACCAGCCCTGGCTGTGGCATCTTCCCTCACTGTCCCTGCTTCATTCCAGTTCTGGGGTCCGCGGGGGACGCAGCTCCTTCGTCCCCTGGGGCATCAGGAAAAGACGTGGCTCATGTAGGATGGTGCTGGCGAGGAGCTTTGGAATTCACAGTCCTCCAGAAATGTCTGGGATCTCTGGGGTCTGGGGGGAACTGGCAAGAAGAACCAAGAGATTACAAAGGAAGATATCCGTGTCCGTGTGCAGGGGACACGGGGGATAGAGGGCCCTAAGTATCATAAACCGCCCCCCAATCCCACAGACAAGGAAACTGAGGCCCGGACAGTGGAAAGGCTTGCCCACGGCTCCAGAACCTGTGGCAAGTTCCTCTGGACTCATAGGTTTACTTTTTAATATAAGAGATCTAAAGAAACTTCAGAATGTCTTATTAAGGGAGAAGAATTATTTAAATAATGCCTGCGACGTGTCTGCAGTTCTATGTGAAAAATTAAAGCTCCTGGCTCTGATTCCAGATAAGCACAGAGACGTGTTGCAGAGGTTCCAGGTTGGGGACATCCTGAGAAACGTCACCAGTGGGTGGGGGAGGGTCAGCCAC